ATCGCTCATGATAAAATCCATGAAGCGGTCCAAGTGAGCATGGGTTTAATCCAATGCTCAAAAGCATATTCGTAAGCACTCATGAATGTTGCAGCAAACCTTTGCTATGTCCAATACACTTTAGACAATCTACAAACCAATTCATGATAGTCTTCATTCATACCTACTTCCAACATATGAACTACTGTGGACCATTCAAATAATTTGATTATTTTGAAATAATTAATTATTCAGGAAGTCAAAACATGCAAAGTGAAATGCGAGAATATTACTAATCCTATATGGTCCCAAACCTTTGAGTATAAATAAAGCACCTTTTATTTATCACCATATCGATTACTCACTATTTGTTGTTTCGGTTAACTTATTACTTGAATTATTACTACAATTATCCCATGCTCTTAGCATGCAAACAATGTTTACCTATGGTCCTTACTTTGTGAAATAGATCAAATGAACACATTTCTAATAATACTCATTTAACAACTCACAATCCTTATCACAAGTGTAAGAATATCATATTCTTTCAACTTATAGAATATATTATATTCTAACGTTTTATGCAACGATCTTTTCGTATGTTAGTGCACTAAAGTCACAAAGACTATTGCCAATGAAATTTCAAAGTCCTCTATTGGAGATTGTTGCAAGACAATTCCATAGATACGAAGTCTCATATTCAAGGTACATTCCTTTGAATATCCTTCTGCATAAAAGTTTCTAATCTAGACATATAAATTCTTAATGTCTAACTCCCAATATGGAAACATTTCCACATTTTCCATATGACAACTCATTATCAAATCTTGTAATAATAATAATGTCAGTATGGTCCATCCACTACTATACTTCCAACTATTCACAAGCAACCAATCCTTGGCGAATCTTAGATTGTCCTTTGATAGTTGTTTAATAAACTTATTCATGTACGGTTCTAGTCCTTTTTCCCTCTTAATGCTGTAGGCATTTGGAAAATTTTAGAACGGTCAATTATTACAGCGTATGTGATCGATCCTATACTCGAAGTGTATGGAACATGAAACATAATGTCTTACATAACGGCGTGATACTTTATCAGTCTTTTGCCATAATATTTCTATTTGCCATGTTCTCAAAACTTAAATTAAGAAAAGGGATGCCATAATCATAATCGAATTTTGAGAATGCAATTCATATATTTGACTAAATTTGATTAAAATTTGTCGATCTATGCTCTTAGATTTCGAAACGAAGTACAATATTCTCTCCCTTAATTATAGCAAAACAACTTTTCAACCCTTGCAACTTTGCAAATTTAAAACACTTGTTTTCTATAATTAATATTGCTAACTTGCAACTTACCATAATTATCATGCTCCCACTAACATGATGATTATATTCATACCAACATAACACTTATGCTCCCACTAGCTTTGACATGTATTCAACAAACAATTGAACTTCTAGAAAACAATGCTTATTGAATTTCTTAAGTTCATATTTCTAATACTAAGACGCTTTGATAAGACTTTATCTAAGCTTATCAACCTCATACACCTTTTCTTAGATAACTCATGTGTGTGTCTAAACAATTCTAGAACTTATAGCAATAAGTTTAAAATGTTCAGACCCATTTGCCATTTCCCACAATTCGAACTATGAAGAGGGATGCCGTAATCAAAGTTGAATTTGAGAAACCCAAATTACATAATGCTATATTCAAAATCTCTCTTAGTGAAAGCGTTTCCTCACAATCATTTTCATAATGAATTGAAACCTTATGACACTTAGATTTTATTGTGTATGTGCCCTTATCCATGTGAATTTGTTATAACAATATAATGTTAGTGACAAATCCAAACTCTTATGGACAGAACGTGCTCATTCTTAATTTCTTGCCATCAAGGGTCCCACCATTGCTTCCAAGTTATTTAGAAGCTCACCTATGCCAGTCAATGTACTTTCATTGAACAAGGTGGTTGCGCTTATGCAACCTATTAAGAACTCGTAGAACTCATATGCATAATCACTCAACTGGATTGGCATGGAAATAAAATTTTGTCAAGACGATAGGTTACATTCCTCAAGTTGTGTGCTAGTGTTTAAATGGTTTACTTCTTGATTTGTTCTTGAACCTTTTCAAGATCTTTAGACTCCTACTGACCTCTTGACATATTAGATTCTCTTATTAAGAAACATTTCTTGACAAAGCAAATATCCGAGAGTTAGTGTGTCTATATCAAGACAAAACCTACATGCAATTTGGTACTAGTTGGTCTTTGTCTTATTCAAGACATCACAACTTACCAATATGTGCAAGTATAAGAACATTCGTACTTAAGATTATGTCATTCAAGTCACAATCTTGGAGTATGACTCTAAGACTTGATTTTGGAATGAAGTATGATTGACTTCTTGATTTAACCATTTCCACAATTCTCATTTCCTCTTCTTAGACATACAAATGCACTAAGAATCACTTAGAGGATCAATTGAGATATGGTTCTTAATCATTAAGACTTATCATAAAAGGTACTCTCACTTCTTCTTAGAATAGAGAAACTTTTATCTTTCTGCCTACTTGATTCTTCTTTATTCATTCTGCTATTCATTGAAACTCTTTCAATCAGCTCAGAATTACACTTAATCTTATAGGTATAATCATATTTACTAACCTTTTAGTAAATCATGACGAATATCTTATCTCTCTTTGTGGTGGATTTGATCAACGCACAACCTAGTGTACTCGATCTCCTAGTCCTTCACTTGACACTTTGTCAAAGAATTAGTCTAATTTCCAAATATGAAAGTTTTCATTCATCACGCAACCAAGTTGTATGATTCCAAGTTTATGTCCAATTGAAACTTGGGCGATGAGAAACTCTCCCTATTTGGTAAATTCTTGACATCTCTACAAATAACATAATTAAGAATCAAATCCATTATTGCTAATAATAGAAACCTTCAAACATCAATTTTTCATACACGCCATTGCAAGCATAAATAAATAAGATAAAATCAAAATTTATTTTATTGCAGAAAAATTTGTCCTTACAATGAAATTCAATTGAAAAACTATGTTATTACATATTTCTTAGCAATCTATTCTAACTCCAAGTAGTAGCTCAAGAATCTAATCTTCAAGCAATGTAACCGATATCCATTTCTTCACGACTAGATTCAGCTCACTTCTTCCCTTAAGCTTCCTCTCTTTTCTTCGATCCTACAAAACATCAAAATGTAATCTTATCACATCATGTATTAAGAATCTAGAATAGGAACTTAAAAGAGTTAGTTCATGGATTTTACCTAAATTAGAGTCATACATCTTGACTCTTCCATCTTTTAGATCTTTTAGGTAGTGAGGGCAACTTTGTAACCAATGCCCCTTCGTTTTGGCAGTAGAAACATATGGATTCTTCTGGAATGGTACAAGGGACTATCTCAGACTCAGCCTTTCTTTTGCGTAGAGAAAACTTTTCTAGACTTCCAATGTGGCCATTTTCCATAGAAGGTTGGGATATTGATTTATCATACAAAAGTTGCTCGACCAGTGCGCAAAATCATTTCTGATTCAGCGACTATAAGAAAATGAGTCAAAACAATAAGGGTTATGTCATGGTCCATCATATAGTACTCTCTAAAGAACTTACCATGTTATTCGGGAAGTCACTGAACAACCAACTTCCTTGAGATATCGACACCTAACATTCTTGTCAATGTGTGACTTCATCTTTAAGACGAATGTACACACAAACTTTCCGTCTTTGTGTCTTATTGCCAATAGGGCTTGAATGACCTTGAACTTTTCAGGTTTTTAAACACGTGGGTCAGGGAGAATTATTGGACAAGGTGGAGAAATGAAGCATGATTTCCGTCTCCACAATCCAATCGTGGAACATCAACTTCATGTGGAAAACCTTTTCCAACGGATTTAGGAATTCACTATAAGAAAAAGACCTTGTTACGACGCGCAAACCACAACACTCGGAGATTTATGTTACGCAAAAGAGATTGACATTAAAAAAGTGTCATCTCTTCAAAAAATTGAATGAGTTACGTCGCGCATTATTACGTGCCCTTAAATTAGTGTCTCATGTAAAAAAAATTAAAAACACGGAGGGAACTTTATGTAAAATGGGCGTCCTCTCTTTTAATGTTGCTTTATATTTTTACTCAAAACACGCGCCCGACTTCAAGACCTCCCTTCATTCTCTTCCCTTTCTCTCTGGAAACCCTAATCACTAGACCATCTCTGCTCGCGTTCATTCCTGAAGATCACGCGACCAGTAACTAGGGATTTTATTCCCCACTTACATATAATCATGATTTTCATCCTTTCATTTGTCTCAGATCGCTGCTTCTCGGCTGTTCTCCACCGCCTTATCTCCCTTCTCTGATACTATCTCTTTGTTTCTCTTTCTTTCTGGATGGTTCTACTGCTCCAGCTTCTCTATGGTACTATTCATCAGCTTCCTTAAGTCCACCAAGGTAACCGCCACTTTCTATCAGTCGGTGTCACCTCCTTCGGTTCCTTCAGTGATGGTGGGTTTTCTCAGTAAAATAAAATGCAACTGTGGTATAAATACAAATAACATAAATGGGGCTAATCGATTTAGGGTCTGATTTGTACGTGGAGAATGTTGATGGGACTTCAAAGCACGAATCAAAGACAACGATGGAGGCAGAGTGAAAGCAACAAATAGAGACCTTCTTTTACACCGTCGATTCAATGTTTGATTTACGTATCTTTAACCCACTTCCGATGGATCATCATCACTGAAATTCTCCATTTATGGGAGTTTGAAACCAGATTTTTATATCCTAATTCATACGCTTCTCTCCCTCTCTCTCTCTCTCTCTCTCTCTTATTCATTTCTCTGTTTTTCTAGTAGTTTAAACTAGCCAAAAAAGATGGAGGGCGAATAGATCGTAATCGTGATGCTTAAAACCCGTGGGATTTCTATCAGCATTACAAACGAGTACATAGAGTTGATGAAATCCAGATAGAGGAACAAAGAATGCTTGAATCTGGAACTTTCAGTTCTGATATGGGAGGGTAAGTACACTCTTATCTTTTGGCCCTAAAAATACCACTTTTTAAGTTACGAAAAATACAATAATGTCACTTGTGAAAATTAAAGCCTCATTAGAACTGTTTATATGAATTTCAGTTTAGGACTGAGATCTCAAGAAACTAAAAAGGTATTTACCACATTAAGAGCTCTTGTTGAGGTAATGGAAATCCTTAGCAAAGATGTTGCACATGATGGAGTTGGCAGATATATTACAGAAGAGGTATTTCTTCTCCCATCTTGGCTATGAGTTAACAATATCCTTGTACCATCTAAAAGTTGGTTAACTGAATCTTAAAGTATTCTACAGTTGCCACTGAGAAATCATTATTCTTGTTGATTTGTCATCACATTGTTTTACTTTGCTCTTTAGATGAAGAATCTCTTTATAAACTTTAAAGGCATCTCCAATATTCATAGCTGATTATTAGTTTGACTTTAGTGTCAAGAGTTTCAATGTGATAGATACACATAGTTGGTGAGCAAGTACTGCATATAAGCACCTCTTAGCATCTTTCACTTCTCCCTTTATAGCATCCAGGCAATATGATCACCCAATAAAAGAAAAAAAGATATTATGATTGTCAGCTTGACAAATTTGTGTTTCCAGTTGTGTAATGGTTTACACTAGTTTAATCTGTAATATATATTCTCCACCATTCATTTGAAAATCAACAAAAAAGCTTCTCGTGCTTCACCTTCTTCCTTCAGTTCAATTCAGCTTTGTTTACTGATGGTGATATTATGTATGCAGAAAGACAATATCAGGAATCAACGTAGAATATTGTTCTCTCTTTAGCAAATGTACAATCATGACTTGGCATACTATCTGAAGCTGATCTAGTAAGTCTATTTTTTGTATCTACTGTTTATACACTATTATTAATGGAAAGTTGCTGACGTGTCATTCATAATTTTCTTAGAAACTAAATGAGAAAGCTATTATGGAAGTGTTCCTAAAGTTTCTTGATAATTACTTCAAATGGTGAAAATATATGCGTATACGTCTTGTTTGGAACAGGTGATTTCCATCCCCTGTTATCACTTTTTATAAATAAAAATCATCGTTTGTCATGTTATGCTAATTGTGAAAGTTGTTTTCAATAGTATACAAGCCATTAACAAGGACAAGAAGCTTTTCTTGGTTTCATTATACTATTTAATCTGGGGTGAAGCTGCAAATGTCCATTTTCTTCCAGAATGCATTTGCTATAGATTCCACCATGTAAGTGTCTTACTTTTATCTCTATTAGTTGATTAATTATTTAACTTGATTGTTTAAACTGATAAATACTTGTATTACCTAGATGGCCAGGGAATTCAATGCCATTTTGGATCATGGACAAGCTAGCCCTGCACAGATTTTTATTTGTGAAGATAATTCAGTTTCCTTTTTTGCACATGTCATTCAACCAATTTACAACACACTCTCTAAGGTCAATAAATCTTTTCACCTCTTTTGTTAATAAAAGTAATGAGTTTGTTATTAATTAAATTGTCACTCGCATATTTAAACAAATCTTACTTTTTCACAGGAAGCAGAACGAAACAATAATGGGAAAGCTGCCCATTCGCATGGCGGAATTATGATGATTTCAATGAATATTTCTGGTAGGTCTTTCATCTTTGTTACAAATTACTCTTATTTTATATACTTTTCAGAAGCTTATACTTGAAATTATTCAGGTCACCTACTTTCATCTTTGTAGTATATGATATGAATTATCTGGAAATTGCAAGATATGCTTTTCTTTTTGTCTTGGGTGGAATCTTTATGGCTGGTCTATATATATATATATATATATATATATATATATATATATATATATATATATATATATATATATATATATATATATATATATATATATATATATATATATATGCAGCAGGATGAGGATACAAATGTTGGTTGAACAAATTCGGATCACAAGACAGACATAAAGCATTCAACAGAAAACAGTGAGTCCTTTTTGTGAAATTAAGAATAATATTTAAATAGATGAGAAATAGTTTTGGTGGTAATTTTTTTAGAGTCGGTCTCGGATGGTGAAGGAAATCCAATGCAGAAGCCAAACAAAAGGAATGATATGGAATCAGATAGCAGCCAAAAGGAGAAGGAGGATGATGGTAAGAAGCATTGTATTGGATTTGGATTTTGGAGGCGATAAATGAAAAATGAAATGTTCTTTGTTGACTGTTTAGCAATATGATTAATTTATAAGTTTTAGAAATTTAGGGGAAGGGGATAGAAACGAAGAGGAAACATAAAACGAGAGACAGGTGTCACCTGATAAGCTGTACAGGGCTGCACTTTTGAAAAACCATTTTGCGAACACAATTCCATATCATTCCTTTTGTTTAGTAATATAAAAGAGGACCCCCAACAACTTGAAAACCAAAAAAGGAAAGGTTTGCCAATACTATAAATATTTTAAGTTTTTCTTTCTTTAGTAATATAAAAACATAAATGTTGTGGTTTTTGAAAAAGCACGACTGCAAGCAGAAGCCAAGGCAGCTGAAGATGCTTGGAGGCGAGTGAAGGTGGAAGCTGCTGCAGAAGAAAAATAGAAAAGAGACCTGAAGAGGAAAGCAGCCAGACAAGCATTATTGAAGGTATTCCGTATTTCTATTTTGTAACATATATTTTATTATAATATATATTTTATTGTACTTTTTTTCAGATTGAAAAACGGTTGAGATTGATGAGGTGTCTCGGTTTCTGAAAGACTTGGAACCGACAAATAAAATTTAATCTTAAATCTTAAATCTTAAATATTATCATGTTATGTATACATAAAGTAATAAACATAATTCTTGTTAATTTTTTATTTGAATTTGTTTTTATATTTTTTAGGCAAAAGAACGAGTGTGCAGATTGATCCAAAGTGGAGTTGAAAGTGGAGCTAAACTACTGCTTGATGGAAGAGATATTGTAGTATTTTTTTTTTCAACTTCATATAATTCTTTATGATATAAGGGCAAAATGGTCATTTAATCCCATTCAGCAGACTTACGTAAACAGATATTGGGCCCACAATCTTGTCTGGTGTTACTGAAGATATTGTAGTATTTTTAGGAGATACTTGGGATAAGAAACCGGTTGAGATTGAAAAGTCAATAAAAACAAGTTTTTTTTTTCATTTTGACTTTTTCTGATTATCTGTTGACCTTTTGACTTTTTTTTATTTGAAGATAAACAGAATGTGTATTTGAATGAGTACCATAATCCACATGGGAAGAGAACATTTCAAGCAAATGTAACAAAAAGTTTACAAATTGTTTAAGCATGAAAATCCTCCTTTTCCAGGTGTTCCTTCTCTCCCTCTCTCTCACTAGTAGTTTTTGTCCCGTTATAGCATCCTACTTTCATTTCCTTCCCTATTACATCATTGTACTTTCATTTCTTTTTCTATTACAACTTTGTATTAAATAAAAAAAATACTCAATCATAGCAATGCCTGTTACAAAAGGTTTGATCTCAATGTCTTGTGAACCACTTGTTCATTTTGTAATGTAGATCTCAGTGTCGGAGATGGCAAAGGAGAAGGCTTCAAGTTTTAGAATTTGAATTTTGTTGTAGATTTGGAAACAGAAAAAGATAAGGATGTCATTAATAAGTAGGAAAAGGTTTGACTTCATGACTTTATGATGATTTCCTTTTTAATTATATATATATATATATATATATATATATATATATATATATATGTTGCTATTCTTTTTTTAATCAATTCATTGGTATCTTGTAGCAGCTATACAAAGAGCTTTTGGTTGCTTAGGAGGAAGCCCATTTGGCTCATCAACAATTTACCTCTTCAATGGTAATAGTGGAGAAATTTTGAATACTAACAACATACAATAACACTCTTAACATACGACTTTAAAGCATTGGCAAAGTTATCAATAGACATCCAAGAAATCACATTTGAGATTCAACAATATATTTATTCTCATATGTATCTTTTTAACAGGAATAGGTCCAAGGGCAACTAATGTTGAATCATCAAATCAAGCAAATGTTGATCTTCAGAACACTTCATGTTGAAGTTGCAAGAAACAGAGAAATCGAAGCATCACTTGTGGTTTAATTCAGATTTTGGGACAAAAAGAGTCCTAGGGGTATTTTTGGAATATTTAGTTTTTCTAACTTTTATGCGTAGTCCGAGGGGCTACAAAAGGTGTTAGTGTTAGTGATGAAACTAACAGATTCAAAAAGTGTTGTAGAGCTAACAAATGGTTCTTCAGGTATGCAATACTCTAGGCATAATTATAATATAAAACTATAAAAAATTTAATTTTTTGATATATATTTTTTTATTTTGTTTTGCAGAGGATACTAAAGAGCAAATCTTGCAAAGGATTTTTTTTGTTTTGCAGAGGATACCCCTCACATTTTCCCAAATTACCCCTTCCTCTACAATGTTTTTTTGTTTCTGTGTATTTTGTGCATCAGGTAAAGTTGGTGGAAGAAAGGAATATGAAGCCACTTGATTCAAATCTTGCAGCATTATCAGCAAGATGCAGTAAAGACTTGGAGTTGAATTTGGCTAAGTCATTCTTGAGTGAGATGGGCCAATGTACAACTTCTTATCCATATAACAGTTGTTTGGAGCATTAGTCTTAAAGAATTATGAAAGGCAAGATGCAACTTTACTTAGTTGGAATTTGATGTAGATAGTATATTAGATGCAAATTTAGATATTGTAAAAAATAGACTTGTATGATTTTAAATTTATGCAATGGATTGTATTTTTTGTATATGATATTTTATATCTATTATGAGACATTAAATGCAAATTTAAATTAAAAATTAATAAATATATAAATATTTTTTTACAACATTTAAAATTATGATACGCAAAAATGTGTGTCATCTTCATTTATGACATGGCCTTTCTTGACAGGGGCTTCCTTGATACGCATTGCATGTCATAAACACGCGCGTCGTAAGGTTACGACACGCAAATGCGTGTCGTCTTCCTTTATGACAGGGCCTTCCTTGATACGCATTGCGTGTCATAACCGCGCGTTGTAAATGCGCGTCATAAATGCGCGTCGTACATGCGCGTCGTCTCTCTTTATGACACGGCCTTCCTTGACACGCATTTGCGCGTCGTCTGAGCATTTTACGACGCGCAATGAGCGTCGTAAAAGGCCTTTTTTCTAGTAGTGAAGACCATAGTTTTCAGACTTTGACATCTATGAAACGGGAGAAAATTCAAGTTTAGTTGATTGAGTCCTTAATAAAACACCCAAATGAGATACTAAGGCTAGGATCCAACACAACATCCTACAAAGTGGAAGAGGGATGCCGTAATCCAACTTGGAGAACATTTGAAGGTAAGTGAATGACGATTCACTAATTTTCTACCATGAAAAACGAAAAAGGAATTTAAGTTTTAAATGTATTGAAAACTCCTAGATCTTTTGAGATTCATTGAAATTTTCAATGGCATGTTTAAATCTCGATATGTCCCTCGATTTGTGACTGGGATGCCAAGGATCACAAAACAGGGTGTGAATAACCATGCAAATATACATGGTGCCCCCAATGTTACAGTCACCTATTCGATGTGCCGGTTAACCACACATGCTCCATCGGACTTTGACAAACATCGAGTCACCCTTTGCCACCTTTTTCCTAGAACACAATTAGTTTACTAGTTAACCACACACGCTCCACTAATGTCTTAGCAAGGGTACAAAGTGTAATTTCATGGAATTGCATCAATTCACTTTTTCCTAAAGTAACTAAGATTGAGAATTTTGTAAAACATTTAGCTACTTTATTTTTCATTATACTTTTAATGAGGAAAGGGTTTTCCCTATCCTATTCATTCAAATAACGACCCTCCACCAATCAAGGAAGCGGTGGGTGAGAGTGGACACCCATTAAATGACCATTTTATAGGCCATAACCTTATACCCCATTATAGATCGGCTTCGTGAATGAGGCCTACTAACGGTAAGACTAGCATTTAAGTTATACATATATAATATTAGACTTTTAATGTTATACATAATATAATGGTGTATTTTACACTTTTAAAATACTGGTGGTTTAATTTTATAAATTACACTTTTAATTTAATTAAATATAAACCATATCATTATGGATTTATTAACTCTCCTTTAATTATACACTTAATTAATTTAATAAAACCATAAAGGTGTAATTTGAACTTTTCAAAATTAGGGTTTTAGAATTTAGATTTTCAAAATTAAACTTTTAATTAAACAATTTAAATTCTAAAACTTGAGGGCAAGTTTTGAAACTTTTCAAAACAATTAGGTTTTAATTATATTTAAAATTTTCGAAAAATCAAACTTTTAAATTTAAAAAACTTAAATATTAAAACATTGATTTAATAATTATCCAAAATTAAACAATTAATTTGAATTATTAAATCTGGGAGGATATCTATTAAATTAAACAATTAATTTAACCTAATCCCTTAAATCCCCTAAAATTCGAAATTATGGGATGGGATAATTCAAAATCTTTAATTACCAAATTTGAACACTTCAAAGATAATTACAAGATATGGCATTTATCCAAATCCATAAAAAAATAGGATCTTATCTTGGGGAATGAGGCAAATTTCGAAATTCAAGGGTTGGATAACCCTAGAATTCGAAAACTTGGAGGCCTAGGAAAGGGTTTAGGTGTAACAGCCCGGAATTTCCAGGTATTTATTATTGGTTTATTTTTGGAGATTTTGAGTGGACTCGGCGAGTTGGAGCTCAAACTCGCCGAGTAGGATCGCGGTATTGGGCACGGGTTCGCGTCCGGACTTGGCGAGTCCACGCTGTGTGATGAAACCCTAATTCCCAGGGTTTAAGACCTATTTAAAGGGCCTTATGGCCGTCATTTGTGCTCACCAATCCATAGAGAGAAACCCTAGAGTGCTTGAGCGTTTTGAGAGAGTAAGGAAGCCATTCTTGACCTTTGTGGTGTTATTTAGCAAGGAGAAGGAGGTCATAACCAAGAGGAAGCATAAGAGATTGCTATACTGTGGATTTGAAGCTCAGATCTTCGAACTTGAGGTATTATTTCAGCTCATCTTCTGTTTTATGAAGTATATTTGGATTTAGGGTTTCTTGTGGCCTTTATTGGGTTGATTTGATGCCAAATAGTCCGTTTCTAATGTTGAGGCTTTGGATCTGGATCCATAGAGGTCCAGAGAGCCTCACTCATCAAGCTTTATGAAGAGAAATGGAGATTATGACCTTGAGTTGTGGTATTTGGGACAAAATCATCATATATGGTCATAAAGATGTTGTATGTACATCACGATAGTGACTTGACGTGCTAAATAAGCTTGGAAGGACTGGATCTATGAGTTAATGGACCGGATCTGACCTTAGGAGCGAGTTTGAGTCATTGCATGGCATGGACTCGCCGAGTCCGAAGAACAGACTCGGCGAGTAGCATGAATATTGTCCAGCACCAAACAGCGAGTGGTCTTGCCAAGTTGAGGGTTTGACAGTGAGTCAGGGAGAGTCAGAGTGGGTTGACAGTTGGACCGAGTCAAGCTAGACTTGTCGAGTTGTTCTTGAGACTCGGC